GGGAACTCTCTACGGAACTACTTCTGGACAAATCTGTTATTCTGTAACTGTAATAGGAGGACTTCCGTAACGAGCGACCACTATATGAGACAGAGCAGAATTGAGGGCAGGGGATAGGGGAAGATCTAGGGGTAGGGGTAGGGTAGGGGTATTGAGGGCTAGGGGTAGACGAGCGACCACTAGGCCTATATGAGACAGAGCAGAATTGAGGGCAGGGGATAGGGGCAGATCTAGGTAGGGGTAGGGGCAGATCAAGGGGTAGGGGTAGGGGCAGATCAAGGGGTAGGGGTAGGGTTTGGGTTAGGGTTAGGGGTCGACCAGTATGAGACAGCAGAATTGAGGGGTAGGGGTAGTATAGGGTTTAGGGTTAGGCCTCTTCTTTATTGTGTTTGATGGGGTGGTCACTCGTTACGGAAGTCCTTAATTACAGTGGAAGGTAAGTTGTGAGATATTTCATTGAGATGTACGATGGTTGAAAGGTTGGGGTAGTTGTCATTCGAATAACCGTGAGTAAAATACTAACGATACACATTATTTCACTAAATGAGCTATTATAAAGACTAGGGGGGAGTATTCGAGTTGTAGTTGTAGTGATTGGTCAAACGCGCGTATGAATACTTGTTGCAGGATGTAAACAAAGATGGGGCATGCAGGGACATTCGAGTGGATTTTTCAGATTCTTTAGTCGTCTCTGGACGCAGTGAGTGCTTTTATATCGTGTTTAGAACTCAAATTATGTTTTTTGAATGGATATTGTAGAAAGTGTTTTAATTGTTAAGTGGTTAATAGTTTTTCTTTCTCATTTTGGAGGGAAATTAACACTTTTGCTGGCGTATTAATATTTTTCCCGATTTTTCTCTATTATTTCATTGTATTGACCCGGTCTGCTTGGATTTTACCAAAAGTAGAAATGATGCAAACTATTTTTAGGTAAGGCGCCCATCTTGTTTGACGTCAGACCAGGATACCCCTCCGATCACGTGACTACATCTAAGTATAGACAACCGCACGGCACCAAAGATGGAAGTGTCTATGTATATATTATGCTTAATCTACACCATTTTCTCGGAAGTTCTGATAGCTGATTTGATAGCGCGTCTGCGTTTGATGTCGAGCAATGACTGTTGGAGCGGTTAGATTCCGGTCCCGGACAGTTTTTTTTTTCTCTTTTCCTCCTCCCGACTGACCAACAGTTCCATAAATTATAGGCCTAATTTGTAGAGTTGCTTTGACTTTGAAGTTGTTTATTTTTTTTAATGTATTAGTGATTAAACATGCAGGAGGGGGGGGGGTTGGTAGATCTAAATTTAGATATCTAGAACTAGATATTATCTAGTCCTCCTGCGTCTTTACGGCAATTTTCGTGCGGTCTTCCATCATGTCCAGGTAGGCCTAATAGATCTAGATCTAGATCTAATCTAGAATCTAGATCTAGATCTAGACTAGAAAATCCTAAATGTTACCGAAAACACGTCGTTCCATGTGGGTATCCCAGGAAGTGATGACATCACATTACTAAAATTAGCAGCCAATCAGAAAGATGCGTCATTTCTAAGTTTAACGGCATGTGTGAGTGACAGACAGACTGAGACCGAATGAAAAAGACTAGAAGAGTCGATGTGCCAGACCGCGGCGGTGCCCCCAGCGCACATGGCGTTAAACTTAGAAATGACGCATCTTTCTGATTGGCTGCTAATTTTAGTAATGTGATGTCATCACTTCCTGGGAAACCCACATGGAACGACGTGTTTTCGGTTACATTTCGGATTTTCTAGATCTAGAATCTAGATTCTAGACTAGATCTAGATCTAGATCTATTAGGCAGGCCTACCTGGACATGATGGAAGACCGCACGAAAATTGCCGTAAAGATGCAGGAGGACTAGATAATATCTAGATTCTAGATCTAGATATCTAAATTTAGATCTACCAACCCCCCCCCCCCCCTCCTGCATTTTTAACCACTAATACATTTTTTAAAATAAACAACTTCAAAGGAACTCTACAAATTAGGCCTATAATTTATGGAACTGTTGGTCAGTCGGGAGGAGGAAAAGAGGGGAAAAAAAACTGTCCAGGACCGGAATCGAACCGCTCCAAAAGTCATTGCTCGATATCAAACGCAGACGCGCTATCCTATCAAATCAGCTATCAGAACTTCCGAGAAAATGGTGTAGATTAAGCATTATAATATAGACACTTCCATCTTTGGTGCCATGCGGTTGTCTATACTTAGATGTAGTCACGTGATCGGAGGGGTATCCTGGTCTGACTTCAAACAAGATGGGCGCCTTACTTAAAAATAGTTTGCATCATTTCTACTTTTAATCGCATGTCCCCAGCACAGCAGTCAGTCTAGTTTTGGCAATTTCTCACCTACTACTTTTGTTTTTGTAAATTTAAAACTGCAGTGATGTCCCTTGCGCTGTTCTGTTTCTTTCTTTCCTGGTCCATTGCGTAGCAATGACAATGAAAAATTAAAATTTCATCCAAATTGCTTAAAAATGGGCTTAAATGAAAAAATAGTTAATTCTAAAAACTATGGTTTTTAAATTTTAAAAATCCATTGATAAATAAAAAAGTTATTGGGATTTTTGTTTGCAAAATGTTGGAGGACCTTCATATAGGGAAAAATCACCAAAATGTGGGACATGTTTTGATGTAGAAAGTGGCTATTCTCACCCGCCCGGAAGTTCTCGCAAGATCAACTCCTCCCCTCTTCTCTCTCTCTGTCTCTTTCTGAATACTGTCTATCGGTGTGGATGATCAAATTGACCAAAACAGAGTTAAAAAATGATGTTAGAACACAAAAGTAAATTAATTTGGTTGTCTGCAAAGATGCTACGGCTATTTAACTTTTCGAATCGAGCCGAACTACACGGGTCGCCATTTTGTTTTGCCCGGAAATTCTCGCGCTACTCCTCTCTCTCTTTCTATCTCTCTCTCCACTGCCCACAGACAAAATTGTACGCTTTTAGTAGGCTACAGTTGTAATGGAACGTTTGTTCACGGCACAGAATTCTACAATTTTTCTGTTATCACAGTGTAGAATTCTGTGGTTTAGGTTTAGGGTGAACGCAAAATTTGGTGAACGCGCACCGGGTGAGAATAGCCACAAGACTCGCCTGCACTATTCTCACTCTGGGTGAGAATAGAGGTGGCCTTTGATGTATTTTGAGGAAAAACTGTTCATAAGTCAGTAATGAATTGGAGCATATGAATGAAACTTGGCATCTCCATGTGATTTTTAATGCCGAATCTAGTTCTGCTATCACTTTTTCGGTGTCTTCATTACTTTGAATCTTAAAGACTGATATTTCCGTGAAATTTGTTGAATTGCGTTACATCGTTTTTACCGCGACGCGATCACCCCTTCTAAAACTCAGTAAAGCGCTATCGGGAAAACCCGCGATGTAGTCATCGGTGACCCATTTGGTTATAGACAGCCAATCACATGCCGCCTAGCGATCACGCGCCTCTTGCGTGCCGGCACCTCGCGTTTGGAATGCGCGATCAAGTTTCTAGATCTAGTGTTTTATCAATGGATGGGTGGTAATTTTAAGTTGGTACGGAAAATCTACTAATAGTACTAAACACAGAGATCTGAAATTTTACAGCAATAAAGAAGACATGTGGGGCGCTTGTGTGGTCGGCGATCAACCCGCAGCTCCGCTTAATTTTCGAACCGCAGAGGAAATTCGCACAAACACGGCAATATCTCCGGTTCTAGTAATCTTTCGGGATTGTACGCTGGCATGTCGTTAGTTTAACCTTTCCTCTGGTTGGTTGCCGAGTTTCATTTATTTTCGTCCAGGAGTTTACACGTTACTATACTTAGAAGAGAGTCACTTCTGATTCCGAGCGGCCCAAAAAATACCCCTCGCGCGGAGGCCGATTTCCGGCCCAAGGCGCAGCGGGCGATTGGCATTGCTACATTGCGAACACGTGACAATTTCGAACCAGGGATCGAAATTTTGCCGTCCTACCAATTTTGACTTCGCTTTTTTAGTTTTCAGGTGTGTTTGCACTTTTTAATCACATATTAAAAGGGAATTTTCTTAATGATGTCTATTGTTATTAATTTGGTGGATAAATGGCTACAAATGATTATTTATGCAACATGATGTGTCGCGATTCGTGCATTAAGTACTGCCGCGCTACGGTACAAAGTATTGTCATAGTGCCCTTACCGTCTGCCGCGCTGCGGTACAAAGCATTGTCATAGTGCCCTTACCGTGGCAGTAGGGATTTAGGGGTCAAGAGAGTGAGAAAGAAAGAACTGCATTGTTTTAGTCAGTTTACTGATGTTGCTGTATTCATTTGTGTGGGTGGGGGGGGGGGTGGATGTGTGTGAGAGAGAGAGAGAGAGTGTTTGTATGTGTGTGTGTATGGGGGGGGGGGGGGGGGGGAAATC